TCATCCATCCTTTCATCCATCCATCCATCCATCCATCCATCCATCCTTTCATCCATCCATCCATCCATCCATCCATCCATCCTTTCATCCATCCATCCATCCATCCATCCATCATCCATCCATCCATCTATAGAAACGTTTCATTGTTAGTTTAACTTTTTCTGAGGAAGCAGGTTTTTCTAACCACCTGATCTAATCTACTCTAATGTGATCAGGAGCAAATATTAATTTCAGAAAGTTTAGAAATGATCCTCCAGGGGTTTAGGGTCGTGATGAAAGCATCTCCATCTTCAGGGTTAGGGTCGTGATGAAAGCATCTCCATCTTCAGGGTTAGCGTCGTGATGAAAGCATCTCCATCTTCAGGGTTAGGGTCGTGATGAAAGCATCTCCATCATCAGGTAGATCTGCAGCCGCCACCTGTTGTGGAGGGAAGCTGCATCACTGGCTTCTAGTCTCTATAACAGCGTCTGACTTGATCTGTTTCTCCTCCTAAAGCAGCCTGTCCTTCTGTTATTTGACCGCCTGTTTGTTAACTGTTTTAAAGGTGAATTAGCCTCCCAGCGTGAGGCAGTAAGCAGCCTGTCACAGAAGCTGGCCAAAGCTGAAGCTCGTGCAAACAGCATGGAGAACGAGGTGCATCGGGTCACTCTGCAGCTAACGGAGAAAGGTCTGCTGCTGGACGTCCTGCAGAGAGAGAAGGAGCAGGCGGCGACTCGCACCAAGGAACTAGAAAACGCTCTGCATGCAGAGAGGGAGCAGGTCAGCCGTGCAGCGGCGCGCCATGAAGCAACGCAAGAACGGCTAGCCCAAGCCCAGAGCGAGGCCATGCTGCTACGGCAACAACTAGAGGAGGCCAACAACAAGGGGTCTGCAAAGGAGCGTGCCGTCACAGACGCCCAGGAGCGCTTCACAGACATCCTGTCCAAGCTGCGCTCTGATGGCGAGGGGAGGGTTCAGATGGTGGAGGACAGAAACAAGGAGCTGGCTGCCAAGGCTGCAGATCTTCGTGATCAGATTTATAAGTTAGAGGAAGAGAAAAATGAACGAGAGGTAAGACCGTAGCAACAAGTTCTCCAGGGCATCTTGTTCTGTTTACCTGAATCCTTCCTGCTCTGCTGTTCATCTGCATAGACCAGCATGAGGCAGCTGCAACAGGAGCTAGCCGACTCTCTGAAGAAGCTGTCAATGAGCGAAGCCTCCCTGGAGGTCAACACACGCTATCGCAACGACCTGGAGGAGGAGAAAGCTCGGCTCCTCAAAGACAACGACCGACTCAGAGGAAAGGTACCTGCAGAACGAGATCAATTAAAAACAGTCAGTGATTAAGGAGCAGAATGACACCAGTTTGAACACAACTAACCTTTGAACCATTTTAGCTGAGCGTACACGCTGCAGAAACACCATTTGTTTTGACTCTTGCTCAGCTTGATGAAAGCGAGGATCAGTACGTTCAGGCAGAGCGACGGATCAACAGCCTGAAGAGCAGTCTGGGCGACAGGGAGAAGGAACTAAGCAGTGCAGCTCAGAAACTCCAGGAGGCGCTGTCTGCCGCCGCTGCTGCCGAGCTGACCGTCAAACAGCTTGAGGGCGCCGTGCAACGGTACGAACAAACACAAGCTTTGAGTGAATCAGGTTAAGCATAGAAAACGTTTCTCTGGGTGTTGGAGTTAGTTGGATCTCCGTCACATTTTATTCTTTAGGATTCTGGTTAATTCTGCATGTTTCACCAGAAACCTTTGATTAGATGCTATGATCAGCTTGTTTTTTGAACGTTAACTAATCCAGGGAGCCTCCGTTGTTCTGTGAGGTCAGTGTTCGGCTCTGATGATGATCTAATGTCCTCCAGGCTGGAGATCGAGAACGCCCGACTGGAAGCTGCTGCAAAGCAACAGGCCAATAAGATCGAGGTTCTTCAGAAAGGAGCTCAGGAAGCTGCTATGGTGACCAATCATTTTCCTTCTGAGTCTTTATGTTCCTACTTCAAGCTAAAAAGTAGAAAAAAGTCTCTGCTCTGCACTTCAGTCAGATGTGAGTTTCTTTATTGAAGCTGATGTTAAATTGAAGGCTGTGCGATCTTTTCCCAGCTAGCTGACAGCTCGCCTGGAGGAGGGGTCAGTATTGTAATGTTGCTTCTCTGTGTGGCTCGGTTCTTCTTGCTTCACTGGTTCCTTTTATCCTTTTTTATTTTTAACTAGTTTAAAGTAAATCCATTTGATCATTAAGAGGAAAAAGAAAAGTTGCTTTAGTTTCATCAGGCAGAGCTGGAATAATGAATATCTTGGTGATGGAGATCCTCTTTCCTCTCAATCTGTGGTCTTTCTTTCAGTGGTGACTTTACTAATGCATGTTATGACCTTTAGTTTGCTCTCAGCCAATCAAACCATACATGTTTAGTTGTTTTTAACAGCAGCAGAAACGTTTAAGTTGGGTTCTTTTCTCTAGGTGCGAGGCCGTCTGGAAGACATGGTAACTAATCTCCAAAGCAGCAAAATGACCTTAGAGGAGCAGCTGAACAAAGAGGCAAGTTGCTTATTTTCTCCTCATGATGCCATTTTATTTGTTCAATGTTGTAAAACAAAGAAGAAAGTCTCTCTGTAGGACAGAAGTGGAGGGGAAAAAATATCTGTAGTCTAAATCATTAAAAACTGCTTATGATGAGATGATTTTAACTTTAACCAGCAGTTTTTTTGTGTTTTATTGTCCATAGGTCCAAAAACAAAGCAGGTTATCTCACAGCGCTCAGGATTCCCAGACGCTGTGGGAGGAGGAGCTGAAGAGCCGCTCTAAGTTAGGCCTGCGTCTGGCCGAGCTGGAAAAGGAAAAGGGAGAGCTCACCTCTCAGGTGTTTACACTGAAAAGATGGACGATGAATCCATCGGCTTTTGACTCACTGAGATGTTAACTCTAGATGGAGATGGAAAAGAAGAAAGCGAAGAAAATGGCCGAGCAGAAGAAGGCGGCCGACACGCGCCTCGATCAGGAGATGAAGAGGAACATGGAGCTTCAGAAAGAAATGTACAGGTGACCTTTGGTCTCTTCTCCGTGAGTCCAGCCTGCTGCTTAGACCCCAACAGGATCCACTAGAACCATCCATCACTCTGCTGTTTATAAAAAGATTTTTATGTCATTTATGAACTTTGTTCTTTGCATATTTATTTAGTAAATCTGTGTTTAAGGCTACGCACTTTATTGAAGACTGCAAAGAAGAAGCTGCGTGATCAAGATGGCGGTGGAGCCGAGGCGTCCTCTCTGCGGTTGGATCAGGGCCGACCGGCTGACGCCACCTTGGCATGGATGAAGGAAAAGGTTTGTCCATCCCAGGCTGCCGTAAACTCCACATAATGTGCTGCTTAGATTCTCCGCTGCCTCGAAACAACAGAATCCATTGCTGCAGATTGGGATTAATAATAAAGATCGATGCTCTTATAAAACATTTAGTTTGAGAGATGCTGAAAAGTTTGGCCTCTAAACCAGAAAGTTAAACTCATCATCAAACCGCTTCAGCATCACGACGTCTTCAGGACGGTTCAGCTGCTGCTGCATCAATCAGGTGTTAGTTTTTATCCCTTTACTCCCGTATTATAGATATACTTTAGCAGGTTTGGCCTCTTTTTTACAGAATCTATATCTTTAGGAAATGTTAATCTATATCTTTGGGAAATGTTAATCTATATCTTTGGGAAATGTTAATCTATATCTTTAGGAAATGTTAATCTATATCTTTGGGAAATGTTAATCTATATCTTTGGGAAATGTTAATCTATATCTTTGGGAAATGTTAATCTATATCTTTAGGAAGTTTTAAGGTCTTATAAACGGCCGTGATGGACGGGGTTTAGCCTGCAGGCCTTGAGTTTGATGCGGGCTCTAACAGATTCTTAATTTTCTAACCAGCTTCTCTGTCTAACGGGCATCCCCTCGGCATGACGCTGCCACCACCATGTTTAAGCTATTTCTGTAGATCAACCATTAATAACTCCTGATAAGTTGATTGATTGTTCTTGATTTTAGAAGGTTTCAGAGTGAATTCAAAGGTTGAGATGTTTCTTTGCTTTCCGACCCTTCCTCTGTCTTTAGGTGGATGATCTGCAGGGACAGCTGGAGAAGGAAACGTCTCATCGTAACCAGCTAGAGAAGATCAACGAGGAGCTTAAGGATCAGGTGGCGTCCCTAAAAGGATTGGGCCGTAGTCACGATGAGCAGGAGAGAAGCAAGAGGCTGCTGGAGGAGGAGGTGTTGGAACTGAGGCGCCGACTGGAGGCCAATCAGATCCAGAGGGAGCAGCACCGCCGTGAGATGGAGGAGAAAGCCCAGCGGGACCTTAAAGACAAACTGGAGCAAGTCAACCTGTTCCTGCAGGTAAAAGCTGGTCCAGCCAGCTGCATGAATCCAGTAACTAAATAACCGCTGCTGCTGCTTCAGTTTAATAAGCTCCTTTCTAGTCCCAGGCAGCTTCTCAAGAACAACTAGACCAGCTTAAAGCTGCCAACGAGGCCAACCTGCGCACCCAGCTGGAGCAGAGGATCCAGAAGCTGGAGGCGGAGCTGGGCCGGGCCCGCAGCGGTCAGCTGGAGAGTCTGAACCAAAGAGAGTCTGAGCTAGAGCGCTACCGACAGCTCTACAATGAAGAGATGCGCCAGCGGAAGTCCCTCGCTGCTAAACTGGACAGGTTGAAGCTTTCTTCACATTTCATTCAATTCAGTTTATTTCTATTGCACCAATTCACACACGTCGTCTCAAGCTCTTCACAGTTCAGTTTATCCTTCTGCTTTTCAGCAGCTGAACATGTAGAAGAAGTGAAACTGATTAGCTTCTCTTTGTGCCTCAGGGCCAACAGTCGGCTCTCAGAAGCTAACTCCAAGCTGCTCAGCGAGCGCAGCAGGTCTTTCCTGGCTAACGGGAGCCCGGTGCGTCTCTCCCCAGCGGACCCCGGGGCCGCCGTCGGGTCCCTCAACAGGAGCTTTGGTTTTCCCCTCAGTCCTGTGACAGAGCGCGGGGTGGAGGACTACCTGGCTAAGGTCTGCCCAGTCCTGCATTTCACCCTCAGTGTCAGAAATTAGAGAACATTTCATCTGATTTCTTTGGAACTGGAGTTTTTATGTTAAAGTATTTGTTTTCTTTTATAAAAAAAAAAAGGATTTGACTTCAGAGAAGAAGTTAGATATGAATAAAACATCCCTACAGTTTAGTCTCATAACTATATTTAATGAGGAATTTCCCCAAAAATCACTTTATATTTATTTTTCTGCAACGTGAAAGATTCAGTTTTTTTCTTTATCATTTCTGTCCAAAGTCTTTTCACTATTACCTCTAACTTGTCTTCTATTTCTCACTCTTTTAGCTTCTAGCTCAAAAGTCTGTTTTCTCCTCCCTTCAGCCAGACTCATAACCAGGTGTGTTGCTGCTTTCAGCTGACTGGTTGCTGTTTCCCTGCTTTGGCCTCAATTCATGCTTCGCTCATCAGAGTCGACAGAAAGTCGGCAAACAAGCTTCAGAAGATTTCGTTAGAAAAAACCTTTTTACCAGAATTGGAGCAAACAGCATCAAGTTTGCAGATAATAATTCAGTGTGAGGATAATAAAGCATCCTGCTGTGTGAAAACCTTTAGGTTTGTAGAAAACTAATGAACAAACAGAAACATAAAGGCATGAAGTCAGGATTAGAAACTAAAAATCTAACTTTCTTTAGTTGGAAGAGCAACACGGCTTTCCGAAATTAAACCAGAAACATTAACAGGATTATATCAGATAGTTTATAAAGAATAATTATATAAACAATCATTAAGTTCTTGGATGACACGGTGGTGGCAGCATCATGCTGTGGGGTTAGTAAGTGCTGGTAAACAAGGCTGGAAGACAATCGGGTAGATCAACAACTTGATCTCATCAAATCCCAACATAAAAGCTGCAGATTGTCTCCATGGAAACACCGTAGGGCTGTTTACCCAGCGGGAAATGACTGACCGGTGCAGGACTGCTGCACAGCTAACGATACCTGGGTTTGCTTTGAAATGCAGCTTCTCTGCATGTTTTTAGAAATATCTTCAATCGTTTCACTCTTATCAAAGTAAATCAAAGTTTTCTTTTTCCTCACTTAGTTTTTTTACACTTAAAGTCAAAGTAGGATTTAAAGAAAAGTTCTCTAGATTTTTCTTTGTATTTTCAGCATCTCTGCTGTGGAACCATGAATCCATCAGTTTATAATTTTAGAGCCTTATTTCAGTGAAAGATGATTCAGTTCTGCTCAAACCAACAGAGTTCTATTAGCTTGCATTGTTTTTATTTTTTAATGGCTCCCTGACCCCCAAATAATGCTGCCTTTCCTAAAACCAAAGAAAGCAAACCTGTTGTTATGCACGTGTCTGGCCAGTAGGTGGTGATAATTGTTTAATTATAGACATTAAGAGGCTAAGTGGAAGAATATAGGAGCATTGGTTTTATTACTATTATCCATCATTTCCTTTTTATTCTGAACATTTTCAACCTCCAGAATAAATAATAACCCATCGCCTGCTGCTGATGACATCATTAAACAACAATCTCTGTTTTTTACAGCAATATGCTGAAAGTTGTTTTTCTTATCTGCATTGGGAGAGAAAAAGCAGCAGAAATCTTTACTTCTATTAAAGTCCTTTTAAACCGAGCCTCAATTCAATTCAATTCAATTCAGTTTATTTATATAGCGCCAAATTCACAACA